TCTCTCTCTCTCTCTCTCTCTCTCTCTCTGTATGTCTGTGTGTGTGTGTGTGATATCGGTGTCTGTATCAAATTGGCAAACATACAACAACCTGCCTGCATTGTCGCCGTCGTCAGATGCTTGTGCAGACATATAAACAATGTTCACAACACCGTTTGCAAAAAAAAAAAAAAAGAAAAAAAAAAGAAAAAGAAAAGGTTTATGATCACATCATCGATTCCTTCTGCTACCATGTGAAAGTTTCGAAGGCCGGTAGAGAGAGCAGGAAAAAAAAAAAAAAAAAAAAAAGGGGGAGAAGCAATATCGTCATTTTCCAGGCCCCTGAATTTGCTTTTCCAGGTCCATCTATCGGACAAAACTGGTACTTGCTCTCAACTCCACACAAGAGCAAAAATATTGACAGTCTGCGCACAGTTGCTTGCTTGCTTGCTTGTGCTGCGGAACTCTATCAGCGGAACATGTACATCAGCGGAATGCGCTCACCAGCGCGGAACGCGCCCCTCAGCGGAGCGCGCTCATCAGCGGAACATGCTCAGAGGAACCCGCTCTCGAGCGGAACCTCGTCAGTGGAACTCGCCTTTCCTTGCCTTCGGCGGTCTCGGAGAAAAACGCCTTGATGCAGCCCAGAGCGTCAATCGACAATTGAATTGGTTGCTTGATTGATTGGTTGCTTGATTGATTGATCAACAAGAAGATTGATTGATTGATCAACAAGAAGATTGATTGATTAATTAGAAGACTCGTTGATTAATTAGAAGATTGATTGATTGAGATTAGAAGATTGATTCGGCTTCACGTATCAAGTCCGTTATATCCTAAAACCTTACTTCTGCTTCGTCGAAGCCGTTCTTCGACTTTTGCGTGCTGCTTTCAGACATGACCTATCGCTAGGCATACCACGCACGTGTCACTCACTGATCGATTGGAAGGTCGATTGCTTGATTGATTGATTGATTGATTGATTGATTGATACAAAGTCTGACAGATGCAATTGTGTGGACCCTCAATTCTATCGCAAACTTGCAGTTCATCGTCATTCCCCACATGACAACCTGCATGCCACGTGGCACAACCTTGGCCGTTCCCATCCCCCATAAGAGAACACATCGTATCCAGAGACTCCCCAGAGACACAAGAAAAAAGCGTCCCAAGCTAAACAATAGGCCTCGCTCCACTACCCTCCACATGCATAAACGACAAAAAGCACGGCGATGTATGTATCTTCCTATTTTCTAGCGGAAAGCCATGCACAACGGATTTTTTTTATAGTAAATTTTGCTCGTTCTCATTTTGCACATTTGGTGAGTACTGCAGCGAGGCCTATAACCGCACACGGCGAAAAACAAAAAAGAGCATTTGCGACGCGAACCAAGCGCAAACATGCACATCAGGAAAAAAAAAAAAAAAGACCGCCACGTCGTCCTGGGGACCACCAAGGAAAGCGGCGAAAGAAACGGCGATCGGGTTGAGCGTGACACGTGGCAAGCGCCAACGTGCGAACATGTCCATCCCATGACAGACTGACTCATCATTACTGACACGTGATTGACATCGCCGGCCGCCCAACTCCGAGGCATGGGGCCTCGCTCCACTACACAACGCTCTCCATGCACTTGGACACTTTCCTGCGCAGGTGCATTCCGGCAAGTGCAACAATTGGAATGAACCGGGCTCGGAAAGCGTCCAAATGCACGTAGAGTGCAGTGTAGTGGGGCGAGGCCCGTAGTGTATAACGGAAAACCGAAAACACACACGGATGACAGAGGAGAGGAAAATGTCTGTCGGCGCGCAGTAATCGTTTCCACTCCCTGCATATCCGTAAATGCCACGTCAGTCACATCTATTGCCTTTTCACACCTCGATCCGTAACTGACACGTCATTTTTATCGTCCGCATGTCGACGTGTGCCACTACCGGTTTCGACCGAGTAGACACCCGGTCATTATCACTGTATCGGGACCGCCAATCGGCCCAGGTGCAGCTATTATAATGACCGGGCGTTCTATTCAGGTGTAGACGGTAGGCATATACATTCCCCTTTTTCCAAACGACCGAGAACGTCGTTCTTACCCCAGCACGGCGGTAAGTCGTTAGGAGTTAGTTAAGATGACGGTGGTGCAAGGGAGGAGAGGGGGAGACGAGGTGGTGGGAGGGGGGAGGGGGGGAGGGAGAAGAGAGAGAGAGAGAGGGGTTAACCCGAGCACAAAATTGATCTCGTCATCAGGAATAATGCCGACGACTGCCACGATGCCAGCTGGCACATCAATCCGGCTAATTACCAACCACGTCCTCAGGGCAAAAATCAGCGAAATGAACCTCTTCAAGTGCACAAGCAGGCAGAGAGCCCTGACAGAACGTGACTTCCAACAGCAAATACCACCCTTGCGACTCCTGCCCTTCGGCTAATCGCTTTGGTCATCAGGATAATTACTGCAGTAAAAAGACCTAGTGGGACCAGACCTGAGTTCGACGATCGGGATCGCAATCAATAGTCCCGTCTTTCCCCCGAACACAACGCACCCTCATCGTGCATTGTATCGAACCGGGAAGGTAGCTTGTATACGTTCATTATGACGGTGCGTTGTGTTCAGGGGAGGACGGCAGAACATCGTGCGCATTCACATTCGTTCCGCACGACCGTTCCGATGGTAGTAGAGGGAGGGGAGGGGAGGGGAGACCGCAAAATGCCAATCAAAGCCAGTCGAAGCCAATCGAAGGAGCGGCCAGATCACGCAAGCGCCAGAGAACCCCATCTAATACATATCCATGCAGCGCTGTCGATTATAGGGGGTTGTCATTCCCAGCTGGCATCCGGCGACGATGATGTGCTCCTGCGTGGAGTGGATCTCCAGCTTTCCACTTGCAGCTTGGGGAAAGGGGGGGACTTGCGCGAGTGCCCCCGGCTTACCCGGCCGCCTTCCGCGCTCAGCGCGCGAGAATCCGCGCCTGTTCACGCGCGGAACAACTGGCCGGCGGCGATCCGCATCTGAAGGCGCATTTCCCCATATCACGTTCAGACACATCAATGACGATTGGAAAGCCTCCACTGATGCCACGTCATCATGGTCTATCAGAGATTAATTGGAACGCCTCCACTGCTGCCACGTCATCATGGACATGCCGCCACGTCATCATGGTTTATGGAGCAAATGACAGGACTCGAAGGCTGCTAGCTGGCATCCATGGGAGCCACGTCATCGTCGGGGACGTCAATGACAGCTATAGCGCCAGCCGGAAGGGTCACCGGCGCTGCGGAACCATGCGCCATCGCCGGCGAAGGAACGGCGGAGGCGACCGAACTCGGAGCCGCGAGACCCGCCGCCGACGACATGGCATCTTCCGATTGCGTCCCGATCCCGATTTCACTCTGCAGCTCCTCCACCGCGTGAAGAAGAAGAGCGAATTGTTTCCTCCGCAAGTCGAGCGTCTTCGTTATGGAAAGGCATTCCCGCTCAAGCCCGGCTATGTCTGCCTCAAGAACAGAGATGGCTTTCTGAGACAGCTCTCTCGCTGGCTCGGCGGTTATCAACCGTCGGATTGCCTCACACTCTACCTTGTGTTGCCGCGTCTGCTTTGCGTCTTCCAGCTGCAGCTTTGAGGACTCGATCTCGGCCTGCTCGTTCTCGATAGACCTCTGCAGACTCTCCCTCAGCTTGACGAAGTTTTGTTGCTCTCTTGTGTTCGCATCTTGCACGGAATTAGTCCTCTCCAGAGAGAGGTAATAGAAGTCCAGCTCTCTCAGAAAAGCCTCGCTAGCCTTGGCGCAATCCTTGACCGAAGTTTTCTCATTCTCCGCTGCAGCCGCGAATGCCGCGAAACGCTTCAACAGCTTACGCAACGGCGGTTCGCCACGTGTCACTGTTGTCCTAGTCAGCAACCTCTGCCGTATGATCGCCTCCTCCTCCGCAGCGGCGGCGATTGCCGCGGCCATGGCAGCCGTCACCGTCATGGCGTTGAACTTCGCCTTACCTTCTTTGCTCCCTCACTCTCTCCCTCTTCCTCCTTCCTCCTTCCCTCCCTTCTTTGCTCCTTCCGTCTCTCCCTCTCTACCTCTTCCTCCTTCCTCCTTCCCTCCCTTCTTTGCTCCCTCCCTCCCTCCCTCCCTCCCTCCCTCTCTCCCTCTTCCTCTTCCTCCTTCCCTCCGTGTCACTCCCTTCCCCAACTTTCTTCCTTCGCTAGCTCATTTTCTGCGAGCATCCCTTCCTTCACACCTTTACTTCTTCGCTCGCTCGCTCGAAAAGAAGAGAAAGAAAATCGACACAAGACTAGCTTGCCCTGTTGCGCCTCCGCCCCCTAAAAAATAGGGAAATTTTGCAAGCAAAAGCAAAAGCAAAAAGAGCTTAAGGGCTATGGTGGCCTGAGTGCAGTTGGTTCTCTTCCAGATGTCAGATGTTTCACACCCGTTACCTTGGTGCTCCGCCCGCTGCTCTGCCCGAGATACTTTCACGTCCCTTACCTTGGTGCCTAAGAAGTATATATTCTCTTTCAGATGTCAGAATACGACAAAAAGAAGTATTATCTTTCAGATGTCAGAAAATACGCAATTCTTCGCATTTGGGGGATTCGCTTTACACTTTGTTTTTTTTCTTTTTCTGGGTCTAAGGATAAAAGCAAGCCTCTCCCAACGACCTCTCTCTCTCTCTCTCTCTCTCTCTCTCTCTCTCTCTCTCTCTCACTTTCTCTCTCTCTCTCTCTCTCTCTCTCTCTGT